TGAGTTATAATTTTATATCTTTTTTTTATCTTTTTTTTTTAGAACAGACAGATTGTCCATCCCTTGTCCGTGAACCAAAAAAAAAAGAAAGGCATGAGTGCCCGCACCAAATCTACTCAGTCCTTTTACTTGCAAGGTGTCCCGCTTGTGTGCACCAGCAATATCAGCACAAAAATAAAATGAATTACGCACTGTGTAACCTCTATACCTCCACATATTTCTAGTTCCACTAAAATAACAAAAGCAGCATCAGCTTTTTAAAATACCTATGAATATTATAGTATATTTCTGACAATATATCCTCCTAAATGTTACACACTGGACCTTTAAAGCATTTTAAAACATCAGGGTTTGGCTCAGTGCTGTCTGTAAGGGTCCAGCTTCCTCTTCTGAGCCAGAACAAAACATACATGAATTTAATAGATAGAAGATGGGAAAATGATTATATCTGTAGAAAAATCAATCGTGGTTGAGATTATGATGGATATTTACAGTTTGGAAGTTTGTTGTTTGGTTCTGGTTAGTTTCTCACTACTTCCTTTATCTGCCACTGAAAAGCAGAACAAAGAGCACTGTGTTATCTGTTTAAACCAGAAAAGAATAGCCCGTTTTAGTACTATTGTTACAGCAGTTTTAACATCAACTAGAGGGAGATTCCACACTTAACACAATGCAGTGGTCAGTAGAAGCTGTTAAAATTGGCCTTGGTTGCAGTAATCTACTAACAGCTCAAAATACATGTTGTAACTACTTATTGATGTTGAAATGCTACACATAGAACTTTTAAAAATGTATGGTGATTAAATGGCCAGTGTGTGGGATTTAGTGGCATCCAGCAGAGAATGCAACCAACTGAATTGTAGTCAACTTCCAAGCATGTAGCAGAAAGTATGGTGGCTATGACTCTAACCCCAATCCTAATTTAACCCAGATTTTGAAGTAGTACATTTATGTATCACAATAAATGAACAAAGGGCCAGATTGGCATACTACAGTCAATGGTTCACATTTTGCTCAAGGACACTTCAGCACTCTCTGACAAGGAATGTTCGTCCCTAATTAATGGTTTGTTAGCTAATGTAGGTAATGTAATATTACATTTAGTTTCAGTATATTAAAATAGTTCGCTTATGAGCTGGGACGTGTAATGTCTTACTCCATACCATAACTGGTAGGCCTATATGCTGGTAGGTCCTGCTACAGCAACAATAGCACAGTCAGGTTTAGAATTTCACACATTTTGCAACACATACCAGCCCTGAATATGACCAACTGAAGACAAGTCTCTCTGCAGTAAACAGCACTATCATTGCCCCCCCCCCTTCCTGAAACACTGACACAAGCCAAGGCCGATAACTAACTTTTAATGTCCCCTCAAATGAAAAATGAGCAGAAATGTCATATTTTTCCTCAACTTTCATCAAAAGTAAACCACTAGGTGTTTGAGTGTCACCTACTTGGGCTTAAAACTATAGTCTTTCTCTCCAGAAGTAAGATATCACACACTCTTCTAGTTCCATGTAACTTGCAGTATTTATTCTATAGTTATTTCACTTTCCTGGCATTGCTGTCAGTGCATGGCTATTTTTGCTACACCCCTTGCCACCCCTCCTCTCACATCTTAAGTGACCAACAACGGGAGAAAAAAGAGAAAAACAGGTTCCTCTTCCTCTTTTTCATTTTCAGAATGCACATATTTTGCAAGTATTAACTTTCCGCTCACAGCTGTGACAGCCTGTGGTAAGCCGGGTGGACAGAGGTGATAAAAACACAACGAGAGAGAGTTAAATAACCTATACTTTTGTGATACAGCACTGTCAGTAGAGCCAATATTTACTCTAAACATGAGATTGTTATTTTTCATTCTTTTTTAAAAAGCATGCACTTTTTGATTATTCTATGTGGGCAGTCCTAATGCTGTTATATTGATTTCTACTGTTTCCATCCTATCTCTCTAATGCAATTAGAATCCATATAGTACAATACTTGGTCAATGGTCAGTAGACAACAACTTTTCCCTGCCATTCACATCTCTCTGTTAATTAAAATGTGTAAGTGTACTATTGTGCTTTGACTCTCACAGTATGCTAACTCTCAAGCTAAGTGTTGTTGTGTTAAAAGGTGCAAAGCTGTGAAGCTGCAGGGGGTGATTTTTATAAAAATATTTTTTGTCATATTTGCTGGAACTTTCACTATATCCTAAAAGTAGTTAATGAGACAGATAATCTGTGAAAGAATCAGGATCCTCTGGTTTCTCCTAGTGCTCCTAATGGCATTTACAAGAATGCGGGCCTCTCATTCCCAGGGTGTCAAATACAGATGCTTTGGAACTCTGGGAAGACTCAAAAGTCAACTATCTTCAAGCCACCAACCCAAAGCGTCCCTATATCTTTCTCAGCTCTGATTGGTTGGCCCATCGTCCAGGCCCATTGGGAGCACTAGGAGGAGCCAGAAGGACCTAATTTTTCACAGATTATCTGTCTCATGTACTGCTGTCAGGATATAGTGAAAGTTTCAGCAAATATTTATATCATTTTCTTGCTAGTAGTTACCTACTGCAGTTTTAACAGACATGTTTGTTTTTTCAAGTGATATAAAGTGCATTAGAAACTATTGTATGAATGCACTACTTCCAAAATAAATTTCCGTTCTTGAATGTTGCCTCTGTAGCTCCCACTGTGTATAATTCAGCTCTTATATTTGGTACCATGACATACACCTCTTATACAGTTGGGTGAATTATCTTCAATGAATGATGATGAGTGTTCTGGGAAATAGAAGTAACATCATGTCAGACATTATGTCCAAGACATGCAAAACAGTTCTGGTTTGATGATCAGGTAGACACCAATGGAAACCATCACGTTTGTCATATACTAGCGTGATACACCTTTAATGTTACAGGAAATCTATTTGTAGATTATTAAACTAGGAAATATTTTGAAGTAAAGCTATATGACTAAAGTAATAGAGTCTAAAGTAACAAATGTTTGCAGGGAAGCAGAGCATCCCATCAACTCTATTCATCTTGAATCTCAGGTGAAGTTTGATACTAGTGCTCTTAATGGCATTTACAATAATCAATTAACCAATAACCGATTGTTGAGTCTCATTCCCAGTGTCTATGTTTGACGACCTGGGAATGAGACTCAACAATCAGCTATGTTTCTTGGCTTTGATTGGTTGTTTTCGTTCAGGCCCGGTCGATTCTTACAAATGCCATTAGGAGCACTAGGAGGAGCCAGAGGAACCTGATTGTTTCACAGATTATCTGTCTCATGTACTACTGTCAGGATATAGTGAAAGTTTCAGTAAATATGACAAAAAGTTATTT